GTGCCTTGTTTCTTTTAACCACTGAAAAATCAACAACTATGGCACAATGTTTTACTTGACAGCAAACGTCCTACCAACAGCGCCAAGTTCAGAAATTCCTTCCATGAAAATCCACGAGATAATCAGCGACAAACTTCCCCACCCAACCATCCTGAAAACAAGTAGCTGCTCTGCCAGCAAAATCTACCCGAACGTCACACTACTGGGAGGAATAAAATCAGGGAACTTCACATCTCTTGGCAAGACTAAGAATATGCAGGAGTGCATTGGCAGGTCGTGTGACCTAGGTCGCGGTGACATGGCCTTTATGCTTGGAAGTTACTGTTATTCTGTGTCTTGTTACAGCGATCGGGTTTGTCAAACCATTCCAGCACAGCCGTCCAAGTTCTACCCTAGGATAGCCTTCCTGAAATGGGCACCCAAAATAACCGAGGAGGGTAAGGAACACGTTGTTTTTAAAAGTAATTTAATAGTAGGTAATTTTATTTTATTTTGGCGGAATAAAAGCTGGAGGAGGCAAACAGAGCAAACAGAAAAGACATTTCTTTTGTTGGTGTTCTCCAGCCCTTACTATTTTAAAAAATCGAAAGCTCTCTATTGCGACGTAACAGACTTTACAAGAAATGTATAAATTGTCACAAATACCTTTTTGTGTCGGTTTGTAGACAAGCTAACTCTTGCTTATTACTTTCAAAGTTCACATTTATAAATTCAATTGAGTACCTTACCAATCTTCAGAGGATACATAGAGCCGTTTGGAGTTTGCAATAGGGGGAGAAAGTAAAAGCACCTCTATTTGCATGTTTATACACAAATGCGCATGTTAAAACCAAGCCTTCGTAAGCTCCTTTTCCTTAAGTAATTAAAATTTCAAGCAACAGCTATAACCATTTTATCCTTTAAATTTAAAATCAGAACTTCTTGAAGACGAAGCTGAGTATACATCAATTCCCAAATGCACACGAAGCCACATTCTGTACAACCATACCTTATTAGGAGGTCTAAGGGCGGGAAACTTCACGCAGATCGCGGAGGTAGATAGCATCGAAACATGTGCAGCCTTATGCTGTGCAGAACAGACATGCGACCTGGCCTTGGTGTTGGGAGATAACTGCTACGCAGGGGACTGTGCGAGTAAGGAGCTATGTATCCCTGTTCCTGTTTACTATACAAGCAAAAGAAGCTCGCAAATTGCTTATATTACATCAAGGAAGAAAGTGGAAGACCAAGGGACAGGTCTGTAAAAAAAGATCAATAACAACTAACAATGACCATACTTTACTAGCACTACTAAAATTACACACCATCCTGATTTGAAATACTTAAGACTTTCTTCCGGTCGACGACAGTTAGGCTGCGTGGCAGGCGTTCGAAAGGGAAGGGAAAGGGGATTTTGGGCGCGAGGGAAGCGCGAGAGGCACGCCCAAAATCCAATTTCCCTTTTCTTTCGAACGCCTGCAAGGTAGGCTGGTCGACGCCAAGAAGATCTAGACGACTCCATAAGGCTTAACTTTTCATACAACTCCTAAATCTCTAACGTTCCTCAGACCAGTATTCCTTAGCAGAGTGTTCATGTACGTAGGTGTAGGACTTCCTCTTGCAGCCCTCACGGCTGTGGTGTACCCATGTTACCAGCTGTTGCGCTGCATGGAGAGCCCTTATCACTGTAATGATTCTATTCCGTATGGCAGTGGTGGCCTATTTCTAACTTACTACATGATAGCTCACTATTTGTAACTTTGATTTGATCTCTGATAAAAGCAGAAATTTTAAGGGAATTTAACTGGCAGCATTAGCTGAATCTTTTGAGACCCAACCCTTTTTTTCTGAATTTGTTTCAGACTGGAGTTTATGGTACATCATAGTAGGATCTATCGCTATTGGAATTGGTATAACAGGAATCATGTGGACCGTCTGTACCTGCTGGCACAGGTAACAACAACTTTAGCTAGTCTCTGGTCTTTTTTCCATCAACCGTTCCCGTTTGAGTCAGCTATTTAAAAGCGCAAGGCAAGTTACTCTTCTTCATTTAGCCTGTAAGCAAGCTAGCTCTCCTATTTGGGCGAGCGAAGCGAAACGCGCGAGACCGCACGAGCGAGCGGTTTCGCGTCGCCTCTCGCGTGCCTCCCGCGCGTCCACTTTTCACGATATCTCCCAAATGAAGAGCTTGCTCGCAGGCTATTCTTCATTTTTCAAATCTACCGTATTTTTGTTCTTATATACAGCTGCAGTTTCCCTTGATGCCACTGAGGTTCTCATTGGCTGACTAAGTGATCCGGTGTGGCCTAAATTTCATTAATTATAAACCGCGGCCAACAGACAAATCGATCCGGTAAAGATCGTGCACAAAAGACGACAGCAAGCAAAGAAACAAGAGAAAACGAATTGTTTCCGATGTTTCTCGGGTTTTCGCTTAGGTAGTCCAAAGTTATTGAACGAGGCTGAGTATGATGTAAAAAATTATGCAGATTGCCGCGCCGGAAATAAGGAAATAAGGTGGCTATTTTATGTTGGGGCAAAAACTCATCATATCGGTTGAATATTGACTACATCTTCTTCATTTGTAATTTATTGTAGAGGTAGGCGCCTGAAATCCAAGGATGAACCTAGCGATCGTTTCACCATGATAAACGACTGCGGAGATTCACCTAAAGGATTAGAAATGCTACCCCAAGGGTGGAATTTACAACAGTTTGGACAACAGTTCAACGATCCAGGTATTTTTAAATCAACTAAATCTCAACAGACTTTTTTCATAGTCGCTTTAGTATATAAGGTTGCAGAACAGTATTAAAACGTAAAAGTGGGCCTCTTTTATATGGAGTATTGTTCTCGGGAAAGAGGATCACCCTCCTAGCCGAGTCAACTCAAGCCATGTTTAGCGAGCGTTTATATGAAAAAACGCTGACTCTTTGCCTGAGCGAAGAGCTAACAACCGCGCTCGCCCATGCTCTGATTGTCTGGCCTTGACCGAGTTAACCCGGCTGGGCGAGCCAAAGTGCTTTTATCATATGACCCGTAGGGCCCTGTGCGCAATTTCGTTGGTAAAGCATATGAAAGAGAAAACTCCCGTACGCGTACGGTATTTACTAGAAAAGCGTGCTGAGTGATGCGGGTTCGCTGCGTCGGACCTCGGGCCAATTATTTTCCCGTCCGGCCCTCCCACTCAGTCAATAAGCACATAAAATGGAGGAAGAGAAAAGTTGACCCGGCTAGGAGGGTGATCTTGCCATCGGAAAAGGGTGACCCGTCACCCTTCTTCTTTGCCTCTCAAGTAAACGGTTCGCCAAGTTTTGTATGGAGATGAAGGAAACGTTGGCTCGCTCAGGGTAGCTCGGGTATGTGAGTGACTTTTCTACCCGGACAAGTTGTCTCTATACACAGGGCCTTGGAGTTTCTAGCCCCGAGGTGGATGTGATTTAGAAATAAGGAAAGACGAACTACCCAAGAAACAGTCCATGTACAGCGAATAACACTGTCTAAACTCTTTAATATTCTCTTGGTTTTCCTCTTCCCCTATTTCAGGAAAGTTCTTGAAGAACGGACCAATGTTTTTAAGCGACACCGAGAGTGATTCGGATGATCACGAGGAGACAACGGCCCCGCCTAAAAGTAAAATTCCCATCAGAGCTCCACAGTCCCTCAAAAAGACCCTGAGCTACAGTGGGCCTCCCCCTCCTTATACCGTAGATAAAAATGACGGACCAAGCGTTATAAGCTGGAATTCCAAAGCGAGAAGAGCCATGCAGAATTTATGAACCTCCTGATCCACTGTTTTGAACCATTCCTAATATCACGAGACATGGAAAGTCCACCAAAGATCTTTTCCAACCGATGAAACATCACTATGCCAAATGTCCCTCATGTTTTGTTGAGAAGTGCTTACTAGGAAGCGCGATCAAACTATTAACGAAGGTAATAAAAACAAATGCAACTGGAAAAGATTTGGCTAACTTTTTCAAGTTGTGCCGTTGTGTCTCGGGAAAAAGTGCTAAAAATAATCTACCTGTTTATCACTTTTTGTGCTGATGAGGCCGCCCGTGTAAGAGAAAACAAGACTTCGCGTGACAAAGCGTCACGAAGCTCTCAGAGCGAGTGGTTTAAGGTATATGATAAAGTAGATAAGCCTTGGTTTATAAATAGTCGAGATATGCAATGTAAGAATATTTCAAACCCGTTATAATGCGCATTAGATCATTGTAACATTTTGTTGTAAAAAATAACTTTTCTTAAACAATAAATGAAAATAAAGCGAATTTTCCGTAAATCAGGCTTCCTTTTCTACAGGTATGGATTTAGGAAAAAACCAAAAAACCGAAGGGCCGAGTTGTTCAAAGCTGGGTTGAGATAACAGAGGGTTAGTGCGAGATTTGAATTCAGATTTAAAAGCTTAAAAAGTATTTCAGTTTTAATTCTTTTTGTCTACAAGTTGATGATTGAAAGCGCTAAAAACAACAGAGAATTATCCCAGAAAATGCTTTTAAACACAAGAAAAAGAAACCCGGGTTAAATCTAACCCCGGATTAAGCGCTAATTGGCCTTCGAACAACTCCGCCCTGGGCTATTTACTATAGCTCTACTAAATGTTTTTTCACCTTGTTTACTGCAAGACTAGTCTGAAACTGAATTTGAAGACTGGGTTACCCTTTATGTAACGCGGTTGAGTAACGTACTAGCTCAAAAGCCATGCTTCACCTCTGTGTTTTCTTCTCTTATTTCTTACTTTATTCCTTTGTTGCTTTATGATATTGCATAAATTGTAAAGAAACAAACCTAAACTGAACTGAAACTGGACAAACGAACTTCACGTGTAACAACTATAACGACTGATGGAGTAATGCTCAAAATCTATTGTTGTTACTCATTTGCGGCATTAAGTTCGTAGACGGGTCTAACGTTCGCTAAAATTATCGGCCCTTTGATACTTCATATGAGGATTTTCTAAGCTTAAAAGCGCCTTAACATAAAAACAGCACGGGACAGACGCAGCACTTTAATCTTTAATCATGAGATGACGTCAAGCTTTGCAGTTCCTTTTCAACGGCTTCTACGAAAGCAGGGAAGTTACTGTCAGTTAAACACAGTCTTACTAGCAGGCTTAGTCTGTCCTGTGGTACAGTCATTTGTCCGGTGGGCTGAGAGACATCGGAAACGGACTCGGAGGACGAGATCTGCAACACCAAGTCATACGGTATGTATAGTGTTCACATCAAGTATATACATGAAGACTTCACTCGGTTTACATAAGAGAGAGAACTAGAGGAAGAGGAAGAGACCATAAAGGTCTCTTGGGGTTGAGAAGGGTAATTGCCGGTTAAATACGAGCAGTAAAACTCACTTATTAAACCCTTGGATAAAAGCTATATGGCCATTTTGACTCCTTTTGTTTGTGTACCCTTTTTTAATCATGTCATGAAATTTTATAGCACTTCCGTACTTTCTCGTAATATTCAACCTTGTTAACCTAGCAAGCCCGTCCCGTTAGGATCAGACTAAATTGGAACATTTTGCTAAGGCGAGAATGATCTGATGTGGGCCGAATTTTCAAGCACTTGAAACTGTAATCTCCAGCAATACATTTTAAAACGACTGCAAACCAACTACTCATCCGACCTTTATAAACAGTGGTCAGACCGGGACTCGAACCCGGGACCGACGGGTTGCGAGTCCGACGCGCTGATCACTCGGTCCAACTTCAATTAAACCGCTGATAATCACCCCAGTTAGAGCAAAAAATCGTTTCCTTACTGCCAACAGTGACAATAATAATTTTAGACGTAACCTACCTTGTTGGCTAACTCGGGAAGAGTTAATCCTCTCGCCTCAGCGCCAGCTCCAGCATCTTTACTAACAGGTGCATGCTGTGACTCGGGCGAGATTAACTGAGAGTCCTCCATTTGAACCTGAGAATCAGATTCGACACAGGCCTCCGTGGATATCTCACGCACGGAAATTTGGGATGAAATCTCTGAAACGAACTGGCGGCAATGTTCTATTGCCGAGCGATCACTGCTTTTGCCGAATTTTATCCTGAACCTCCTACTGTCATTCTGTGGAGAGAGAAAGAGAGCAATGCTTGAACCAGATCAGTTTTATATTATCACTCAGAAAGACACCGTTGCCGCATTTGTTGCATGCTGTTGGGCAAAGTTTGAAACCGGACAAACTTTTGAGCTAACTACTCCTGGTGATCCTCGAAGCGTAGCGCAGCAATAGGAAGCTTAAGCAACAATGACGNGTTCAATTGCCGAGCGATCACTGCTTTTGCCGAATTTTATCCTGAACCTCCTACTGTCATTCTGTGGAGAGAGAAAGAGAGCAATGCTTGAACCAGATCAGTTTTATATTATCACTCAGAAAGACACCGTTGCCGCATTTGTTGCATGCTGTTGGGCAAAGTTTGAAACCGGACAAACTTTTGAGCTAACTACTCCTGGTGATCCTCGAAGCGTAGCGCAGCAATAGGAAGCTTAAGCAACAATGACGACACGGGTACGAAAACGTCAGTTAAAAAGTGAATTCGCGGTGCTTCAAACTTTATCACGCTTATTCCATCTCCTTTAGTTCGTCAAATGTTGGCAATTTTTTGTGTAAAAGACTGTATCGAAGTTCAGGAAAAGAAAAAGAAAAAGAAAGTCGTTCTCTTCTGTTCAAAGTGGTAGTAATAAAGAAATTACCGTACAGTACTGATCAAGAGCCTCTTATGTACATTGACTGAAAAGTAAAAGGCGGTGACTGGTTTTGAAAGCAGGCGAAAGTCAAAGGCGAAAACGAATGTACCAAATGATGACGTCAAAGGATCTTTAAGGAGCCATCTTGATAAGTGTGTAATAAAGAAATTACCTTACCGTGAGCTTCTTAAACAACCTGAGTTAGTAGAGACAGTGACTGGATTTGAAAAGTCAAAGGCGAAAACGAATGAGCAAGCGGTTTGTGTCTCTCTCCGAAGGAGTACAATCTCTGTTTACTTTTTCCTTTTCATACGAAATGGGAATGTTGCCGCTGGTTAGTTCGTCCAACATGGTGGAAGTAAGTGCTAGCTGATGATTGGTCAAGGCCAAAAACCGAATACAAACATACAACAGGGAAAGCTGTCAGTCTTCATTTCCATTAATCACTTTGTAAACTGTACTATGTCCCAATTCAAACTTACATTGATTTTGTAAATGATCAGCATACTGTCTCCTTTAACCACTGCTTGCAGCCACTTCTTAGCATTAAACAAAGAAAAACTTTCCTATAAACAAAGGAGACATTGCTTGTTAAATGATACCGTACAGCTCCATCGTTTATTATTATTGCTATTATTTATGTTATTAGGAAGGAATGCAATTTTAACACCAGAACTCAAAAGGAGCTGAGAATTTCATATTTCAGTGACTTCAGTCTCGATTGTCGAGTCCTTACTTGAATATTTCCTAAAATTCTAATGTTATGCTTAATATATTAATCATACTCGTGATTAAACAAATCAGACTCCCGCTACGCGGTCGTCCGATTTTGTTGATCACTCGTATGATTACTTACAAACCTATTACCTATGAATCAGGAGATATGGACACAGAACAAGCGAGGCAAAATTCTCCAAAGAGTGATTACGACAACCATGGATTATCCATGCGACAACTATGTTCAGAAGCAGCTGAGGAATGCGTTTGCAGTGGTCTAGTGCAAACTTCTATTTTTTATTATTTTTATTTTTTCTAGTTTGTTGCGTACATGTAATTATCCCTGATACTAAGTAGTTTTATTAGATGGAATCATAAAGCCAGCAAGGAAAACTAACGTGTATAACTTTCCCATCGCTCACGACCATGTTGTTGGACGAAAACAGCGACACTTGTAAACAGCTAGAACCGTCTGAAGAGGGCGAAAATTGCTGCAAAATTGAGAAAGAAAAGGGAAGAGGAAGACTTAAGCCATTTTCGGCTTGTTGAGGCACTTCAGATCGTTAAAAGCTAGTTTAATAGTAACTTAACAAGCTTTATTACTGTATCTTTTTGTTTCAGCCACATACGCGCCGCCGGCATAGCAAATTCTTACTTTTAAAAATACGGAGCATACAAACCTTCCAGTATCCTTGTTTGTGAGTTGATGGTGTTTCCTTCGGCGCTACGAACTTTGCATATTTTTCTAAAGGCCATGATTTGACGGCTTGTTCACTTAACATGCTCTTTTTTGCATTCAAAATACAACCT